CTTATGACGAACTGATGGCACTAAAGGGAGACTTCGCTGAACTCATCGGACAGTACACCACAAATGTTGTCGACGACGACACCGATAGCTCGCACTCGTCAGAAGGGGTCAGACATCGGGCGTCAACTACTGAAATACCAGCCATTGATAATAATAATGATAAATCAAAATTAGTTGAAAACGAAACTGTAGAATCAGGGACTGTCAAATTTGCTGTACGTATAAATTCTCTCTCTCTCTCTCTCTCTCTCTCTCTCTCTCATTAAATGATTTTCATAACACAGGTGTACGCAAAATATGCAAAAGCCATGTCTTGGTTTTGGGCATCAACGATGTTATTAGCGTTTATATTTCAAAATGGTTTCAATAGTGGATCGAGTTTTTGGTTGACGAATTGGACCGAAGACAACGGTCCCGAAGACCGGACCGCATATTATTTGGGCATTTATGCGGTGATCGGACTTTTGCAGACATTCTTCGTGTGGTATTCGTGGTATGCAATAGTGATCGGCGCTCTCCGGGCCTCAAGTAGTCTACATAACAAACTGTTGACAAACATAATTCACGCTCCGATGCACTTCTTCGACACCACACCTATGGGTCGGGTTATCAATAGGTTTAGTAAAGATATCGATATATTGGACCTAACCATGCAAATGACCATAAGGTTTGTTTATAACTTACAATATAATTATTTGTAACAACTATTTTTTGCTACTAATAACTTTGTAATTTTTACATTTAATATAAACATGATGATTAACTTAACATATGTTTTTATTACAGAGTGTTGGGCAGTACGGCTATACAGGCAGTGGCTATATTGGTGACCATTTCCATTCAAACCCCGTTATTCATAGCAGTATTCGTGCCGGTAATGGGTGTATATATTTTTATACAAAGATTTTACGTCACATCCTCTCGACAATTGAAACGGTACTGACATTTGAATTAAAAATATCAATATTAAAATTATACAAATAATTTATTTTTAATTTCTAGCCTGGAGTCAGTCTCTCGGTCTCCGATTTACTCGCATTTTAGTGAATCACTGAACGGAGTGTCGACTATCAGAGCGTACGGCGCGAACGACCGCTTCATTCATGTGTCCGACCAGAGGGTAGACAACAATCAAATGTGTTTCTATCCCAACGCTATGTCCAACTGTTGGCTATCAATAAGACTCGAGTTTTTGGCAAATTTGATCATATTTTTTGCTGCATTTTTGGCCGTACTTTCTAAGGATACTCTCAACGGCGCACAGATAGGACTGTCCATATCGTATGCACTAAATATGCCCGGAGTATTGAATTGGGGGGTCCGGATGTTTGCGGAGATGGAGAACAATGTGGTGGCCGTCGAGAGGATTGACGAGTACTCGCAGATTGAGTCGGAGGCCGATTGGCATTCAAATAGCCCGCCGGCAGAGGAGTGGCCACAAGAGGGTAGAGTAGAGTTCGTTGAATACGGCACCCGATATAGAGAGGGATTGGATTTGGTATTAAAGGGAATCGATGTTAACGTAAGAAAGGGAGAGAAAGTGGGAATAGTTGGCCGAACCGGTGCCGGAAAATCATCTCTAACTCTGGCATTATTTAGACTAATAGAGTCTTCTTTCGGTAGAATAGAGATCGACGGCATAGATATCAGTAAAATAGGACTTCAGGTATGATTTGCATTATATTTAATTTTATTATTAAATATCAGCTTTAAATCACAAATAATTTTATTAATTACAGGAATTGCGTTCAAAGCTAACAATTATACCACAAGACCCGGTGTTGTTCTCCGGAACTATTCGTACAAATTTAGATCCGTTTAACAAATACACGGATGAGAGGGTGTGGACAGCCTTAGAGCACTCACATCTACTCGAGTTTGTGAAGAGCACTGACGCCGGCATTCATTATAAGGTCTCCGAAGGCGGCGAGAATTTGAGGTAAATTTTTATATAATTAAAACTTTTTAAATAATGAACTAATGTTTTGATGTATTTGTGATAAAGTGTGGGTCAGAGGCAACTGATGTGTTTGGCCAGAGCTCTGCTGCGGAACACAAATATCTTGATCTTAGACGAGGCGACGGCTGCCGTAGACCTCGAGACGGATGCTCTGATCCAGACTACGATCCGCAATGAGTTCACTCGCTGTACAATCCTTACGATTGCCCACCGGTTGCACACTATTATGGACTCGGATAGGGTTCTGGTGCTCGACTTCGGACGGGTGGCCGAGTTTGACGCCCCGCAGACTCTCCTACAGAATAGTTCACTCGCTGTACAATCCTTACGATTGCCCACCGGTTGCACACTATTATGGACTCGGATAGGGTTCTGGTGCTCGACTTCGGACGGGTGGCCGAGTTTGACGCCCCGCAGACTCTCCTACAGAACGACCGCTCAATCTTTCACTCACTCGCCAAAGACGCCGGACTCGCATAACACCACACATACAACCACTCACTCGTATTCTTCAAATCCGTATTTAAATCATAAAATTGTTAATTAATTTAATATAAATTAATTTCATATATCATAAATATAATGTAAATGTAAATTATTAATAGTAATCATAATTTATTACAAATGAAATTATCTTTTACATATTAAACCATCTATTACTTATATTAAATTAATTCTATGTTTTTCATTGTCTGTACTTAATGCATAACATAGTACATTAGTTCCCAAAAATACTTGTTAATAAAAATTATTGTATAAATAAAATAAGATATCACACTATAAAGATTTATTCTCTGTAATTAAATAACACATACTTTTATTAATATTTGTGCGGGCAGTAGGGTATGACTTCATCATCATTAATTGGGTAATTTATTTATTTATTACATGTCTATTTAATAACTATTTAATTATTAGTACAATTACAGTGTAAAGTTGTAAATGGATGGCAACGTTCACAAATCATGACAACAATTGCGGTTTTAAACGTAGAAAAGTGGTATAATCATGGTGGCAATTATATACGGTATACTACAAGCAAACGCACCCATCAGTCCCCCGGCACCCAAAACAAAATACTCTGACTTGTGAACTGATAATCAAAATGCACTATAAACAAATGTCAGTATAAAATAGTTTTAACCTTTTTTAATTAACTATCTAAAGTGTACTTTTTTCTATGCAATTTTTATTTGTTGAAATACATACTTTGCACTTGTCAGCATTCTGGTAAAGTGCATAGTAAATTTTGAATGTTAATTTTAAATGAATGGTAGAATTGTAATTAAATTGTGCTATTCTAGGTTTTTATAAAAATTTCCCTGCTCATTTTCATAGAAAATTATATTTAATTTACTTATAATAGTTATTTATACTGTAGATCAACATTATTTGATGTAGAATTTGGGTTTTCCTTGCGTTTTAGTTAAATGTGGTATTTGTTCTTTCAAATTAAACAAATATCTATTTTATTGTTATTTTTGTATTAAAAGCACAAACCGGTAACCGTTAAGGACATTAGTACTGCACATTTTCCTATTATTTTCAAGCAAAATAAATTAATATAAAAGTAAAGTGTATGTTTACAAATACAATTATTTTATGTGACAAAATGTTGCCATAGGTTACGATTCTCTCTCTCTCTCTCTCTCTCTCTCTCTCTCATTAAATGATTTTCATAACACAGGTGTACGCAAAATATGCAAAAGCCATGTCTTGGTTTTGGGCATCAACGATGTTATTAGCGTTTTGGGTGGCCGAGTTTGACGCCCCGCAGACTCTCCTACAGAACGACCGCTCAATCTTTCACTCTCTCTCTCTCTCTCTCTCTCTCTCTCTAACATTAATAATAATGGCAATAAAACCCATGTTAAGTAACTTTAAGCATCAAGCTTTTAACCAAACATAACCATCATACACATTATGGTGAACATATTAATTAAAAGTATTTTAATGTATTTTACATTATAAATAGTACAGAATATTAGTGCAAGTACTTTATGACTTTGTTGTCAATATAATTTTATTATTATATTCCCAAATAGTCCGTATTCTACCAACTTTTACCATATAATTATGTATTGTCTTTTTATTTTGACATTTGTTGTAAAATATCATTACAAAGTTTATATTTTATCAGTTTTATATTTTACGTACATTATATGTTATAGT